CATATAGGACCTTTTAGCCGCTTATGAACGTCAAGTTTTACATTATAATTTTTTTTTCCTACCGTCTAGTTTGGTATATAGATCCAATTGAGAAGAACTGGCAAGAAACTCAATTGAATTACTTTTTTTTTAAAAGCCACATTGTTACAATGTATAGGTACCTATTTATATAGGTGTCTATGTCTAATATTAAATGAAAATCCAGTGCATGAACAACTATTGCCATGCACACTCGTCATTCAAGTAATCGTTTAGTGAGTAATAGGCTTTGCTCAGTAAATATGATTTAACAGATGTTTTGAATTTATTTAAAGGTAATTCCAATATATCCTTTGGTATCTTATTGTAAATTTTTATACCTATTCCCATAAAAGACCTATTAACTTTTTCTAAATGATACTTGGGGACAGCAAGTTTGTCTTTAAATCTAGTATTAATATTAGGAATATTGCTGTTTTTTGGAAATAAGTCAAGATTTTTATGAACATAAAACTTAATACTTTCTTACTTAACATTGTTTTATTAATGTGATGAAAGGACAATGACTACATAGGAAGGTGAAAATTAACAACGCCCGTAGTAATGTCCAAATATCATAATTAAGGTGTGATTTATTTACCATGTTACACGCACAGGTCTTTTCGTGAAAACTTCCATGCGCGCATGTTGCACATATATACCCTTACATTTGAAATATGGTTTCAAATCATGAAACATCAACGCCGCATGCCATGATAAAATGGGATAGTCAAATTATACCCAATCAGATATTTCGACACATTCGTTACAGCTGTTGGCAGAGTCGGCCATGTTTGTTGACGGAGCGCGCGAAATTATCCAGATTTCGCGCGCACAATTCCCCATCTTCACTTTTGTTTATCACCTGACATAATACATTTAGCGATTTGAAATTTATAATTCCCTGTAATTTTAAACTGTATTACATTGAATTAGGGGTTTTAAGTGTGTGTTATGATGTTTCTATTGGAATTTTAGTGGGTTGAGGTTATGTTTACGTTTGGCGCCTAAACCGTTCGGATACTATCAGGCGTGGTGCAGTGTACGATGTTTGTTTTGTTATTAAATATAGGATCTCTCCAAGTAATTGCTGTATTATTATGTTTACGCTTCCTAAAATTGTTCAGGTGCAAATAATTGTAATTTCGTAACATTTTGTTGTAAATACGATTTACTAAGTAACCACAGCGTTGGGAATAAACATCTTCCATATGAATAATACAGTCGTAACAGCGTGTTTGTATTATAGTACAAATACAGCAATACTAGTGTTTAATCTAATTTTTAGTTGTAGTACATAATAGTTCCGAAAGCTGAACTAGATGTCGCTATCTCATTTATGTATAATTTCTACATAGCGGTGGCAAGATATTTTTGCATTATGTATTAAGTTATAGCGTTTTGTGATATATGTCCACCCCGACCACACTTTTACACACACACGACACCGTCCTCGCCGGTGAAGACGACGACCTTAAACACATAATATCGCGCATCCAACGGGGCGCCTGCGCGCGCCAGGGCGCTTCACACCGGCGCCCTCGGGCGCCCCTCCGATCGATCCCCCGTCCAATTCAAACGGCGATCGATATTACGACGGCCTGAGCCGAGGTTCGAACCCCTAGTGGTGCCCTCAGACTAAAGTCGTATTCGTCAGGCAGGAGTAGGCCTTCTGCCGCTCCATAAGTCCTTTCGCGGGTTTGGAGTGCCATCTGCACTCGCCCCCTAACGTCCGGTGAAGCTGTAAAGGCCAGCTGCGGCCAACAGCATTAGAGTAGTCCGAAAATAAATAAAATGTAATATAGGTGTATAATAGGGTCTAAGATCTAGTACAGATCAGGTGATTAGTACAGCAGTAAATAACTAGTTCCACCTAGTTTTGTTTTTAGATACTTCATGATAAGGTTTTAATGGAACAAATTTAATAAGTTGCTTGATATAACTGACAGACCATTTTGCATCTGTGGATTAATGTTTTTAAAGGTTACACTTAATGTTTAGGTAACTCAACTTAGCAGATGTAAGTAGTACTACCCGTAATACTCGTAATACTGCAAAATTATGTTTTTTTTTTCATTGCGGGTTTTAAGATCTGTGACACTGCGACCTGCATAGATATTATTATATTTGTTGTTATTATATTATATTTGAAGGAATTCTTTGAAGACTTATTTTATAGATTTTATTTGTATGTATCTGTGTAACAATTTTTTTTTCAGAACGGCCATTATTGCATGGAATTATTTGCATAGACTCATTTTAAAGATTTTGTTCGTATATTTGCATCTGCACGCTTAATTAAAACAAAACAATGTTTGTGTGAAACTAAGCAAAATTCTCTCTTTTTTTTTAAATTTAGGTTCGAGTTTCCAAAGGATGGAGCCAACTCATGTGTATAAAACAGAGTATTTATTATAAAAAAAAGGCGGATAAAGGCATTTTTCTTATTGCCTGCGCTAACGGTTTACGCTGGCGGGGCACCAGTGGAGGATGATAAGATGAACATGAGGTCAGGTCAGTTAGCTCATCGTGACAAATTCACAAGGAATTTATAACGGTGGTTTCCAGGGGGAACCGCGTGGAGGTCGACTTTACATCGCACATTGCTAGCAATGGGGTTAATAGGTCATATTACTAACAATCGCCTTTCCCCCCCGATGTAGTCATTAATTATGGTTTACAGATTAATACCCGCTCATTAACACTATCGAATACACCATCAGAATCGAAACGTTACTTATAAGACGCGGGTCAAAACATTTTAAGGTTAACGTAACAGAAAGATCATCGCGGGTCAATTATAACGTATAACAACCATAAAATAGCGACCTAATATAACAAACGGTTATCTGCTTAGATATTATTTTTTAAATGCTACGAAGTTAATCCGTGGAGGTGAGGCCACGTGAGAGGCAGCTCTGTGGGGGGCTGGCAGGTGCATCTCGGTGCAACAGATAGTAAAAAATATTGTTAAAACGTTTTCGATTATTAGATACGCGTTTCCGATGTCGTGGTGTTGGATGGGATTTATTTATATACTAGCTGTACCCGCGACGTCGTCCGCGTGGAATTTAACTTTATTTTTCTGAAATAAAAGTAGCCTAAGTTACTCCTTATTACATTCGCTACCTGCCAATAAAAGTCCCGTTAAAATCGGTCCAACCATTTCAGAGATTACCCGGAACCAACAGACAGACAGACAAAAATGGTAAACAATGTTATATTGGTGTATGTACAGTATTTATATTCATATGCATGTAGTAAAAAACGGTTATTTCAATATTACAAACAGACACTGTTTTCTCAATTTTATTTATATTATAGATGTATAGATTATTAGATAAGTAGGTATGCATTTTTGGGTGTGAGAAGTTATCTGTTTCTATATTTGTTATCTGTGTATTGACTTTTGTGTTGTCAGATATATTTCTATATATGTATATATAATTTTTCGTGGCACAGTGTTAGTTGCCATACTTCTTCGAAACGGCTGAACCGATTGTGATGAAATTTTATGCATACTTTGTAGGTTTGAGATTTTTTAAACTCTTAGTGATAAGGATGGCCCAGTACTTTATGATCTATTTTTTTTATGATTTGATATTAGTAATTACATACAATCCTAATTTTTTTCTCTTCTATCATATATTTTTTAAATAGTAATATTTATTTACAGACAGTTATTAATAATCAATATTATCGAAATATGTACGGTGCGTACGAAATAAGTAAGAAAACGAGTCAACTAGTACAATTATATTTTTATTAAAATACGTACGTACATAGGTGAGTTTAAGTTTTTTATTACATCATCTGTCATCTTGTTTGCTATTTCTATTTCTTAAAAAACATACAGTCTTTACCAGAGTGACTTTGTAGTATGACTAAATCTATTTAGGACATACTTTCGCTGGACATACATAGGTATTATTTGCTCAATTGAGAATTACGATTGCTAATTAACTGCTCAGTAAAATATTGTAGCTCCACTTAGCGACTTAGAGTCGTAAGCATGTTTTTCATTACGCATTCCATATGGACATTATACATAGATGTAGTTTTAATACAGCAATGTAAAGCGAATTGATGATATAGTGAGTGGACTCAGTCATCGACCGGGCCTTGACCGCAGCAGTGAAAGTTGCCTCATCTGATATCTGGTGTCTTTCACGGAGATTAAATCTCGCTGGATGTGACTGGATGCTGGTGGACGTCTCGATGGAGCTAGTCTAGGTATGATTTGCACAGTTTAGGCTGTATGTGCTTTTACCTTTGCTATTATAGTTGTAAAAAAATAAACGTATTACTACAATGGATGCCATCTCGATGCAACTAATCTCGCTGGATGTGACTGGATGCTGGTGGACATCTCAATGGAGCTAGTATAGGTATGCTTTGCACAGTTTAGGCTGTATGTGTTTTTACCTTTGCTATTGTAGTTAAAGTGTAGTTAGCTAAAAAATAAACGTATTACTACAATGGATGCCATCTGGATGCAACGACTATAAGGCTGTATGTACTTTTACCTTTGCTATTACAGTTATAAAAAAAAACGTATAACTGTAACTGTGTTTGTTTTTATTAATCAGTAGGTATTTAGTTTAGTAAATCCTAACTTAGAAATATTAGGTATTTGTAAATATATCATCATCATCATATATTTCTGATTATTCATTATCATCTCTTATATTTCTGCCATCAACCAACTTGCTTGTAAGCAGTTTTTTTTTCGGACTACACTAATACTAGTGGCAGCAGCTGGCGTGTTTTCTATGTTAGTATATTATGTATGTATTAAAAAAAAACTATTTATTTATATTAGTTATCTAGTGCCTATAACCAAGATCTGCTTAGCATGGGACTAGATGGCGCTGAGTGAATTATTCAGGGATCTTATCATGGATATTGTTTAGTATACGAATAAAATAACATAATTAAAATTATTTTTTTAATGTATATTTAACAACAATCTTATCATCTACTATTAACCAACAACAATTACACAATAGTCAACAACGATTGCAATCAACAGCAACAAAACAACATACAACAAAAATGTTACACACAATAAATATCACATTTCAACAGTAGTCAATCCTGATGGAATTACATCTCCACCAAATGTACTTACAATAATTATTTACAATTCAATTGGAGCATTAATTTGGAGCCAAAATTTAATGGCCGACAGGTTGACGAAATGCTTACATAGTAAGCTATATTCTTTTTGTTGCCCCTATTTTAATTTGGCAGGTTTTTTTTAGTGCTTGCCACCCTTGTGGTGGTAGATATGTTTGTACACGGGCACGTGGACGGGGTAAGGCTTAGGGATGGGGACCTCGACCTTCTTTTCGACCTCGACGGGGTAAGGCTTCTCGACCTCATAAGGTACGGGTTTTTCCACTGTGTAAGGCACTGGCTTCTCTACTACTTGGGGAACGACCTGTAACAAAATTATAATATTATGTAAGACTTTTTATTAATTCTCTCTCTATCTAGAATTATCTCTTTAAAGACACAAGTAGATTAAATGATATATAATCTTCTTCTTATATATAAAATTCTCGTGTCACAGTTTTCGTTCCCATACTCCTCCGAAACGGCTTGACCGATTCTCATGAAATTTTGTGAGCGTATTGAGTAGGTCTGAGAATCCGCCAACATCTATTTTTCATCACCCTAAATGTTAGGGGTAGTCCACCCCTAAATTTTATTTTTATTTTAAGGCAAAACAACGTTTGCCGGGACAGCTGGAAATTTATGAGTGCGGATTTGTTAGTCTATCACGCAAAAATTACTGAAAGGACTTTGATGAAACTTAACAATATTATAGCTTATACATCAGAATACCACATGGGCTATAATTTAAAAATATATTATATAAATTGCACCAAAATATAATGATAAATGTCAGAGTAAGTGTGATGCAGAGGAAGTTACACGGGTAAGCTAGTAATGAATACAAATATTTGTACCGTGCGAGGAATCGAATGTACGACCATCGGAAGTAAGTAAACCGTTAGACCATTAAGTCTATTAGAGTCAAGTTTTTGGAAAAAATAATAATAGAGATAAGTATGTGAGGACAATAATAATCGTGTCATGATGATGTAAGAGAAAATGGCTAAATTGGTCACGATTCTATAGATTAATTATATCCATTGTTACATGTTCGCTTCACGCTTGCGGTTTTGAGAGTATCTCGCGATCAGTGACATAGATACGCGATATGACACTGCACCGATTATTATGTAATGCAACAGAGAAAGTAAAAGTAGCAGTCAATAGACCCTAGTGTAGAGTGTTTCTTTACATATTATGTTTTTTTGTTCATTCCATTGAAACAGGGACTATGGCTCAAGATCACAGTTAGTTTTCAATTTACAATTCCCGAGAACATTTACGCGGGAAATATGTTTCTTTTTTTGTTACGCCAAAATCAGAAGTCATACAGCCATATCTGCAATTGTCAATTTTACAACCAAGTAAAAGCGCGGGAAATATTATGACAGTTGTTGTTTTATAACTAGTCCCATTTGGACAGACGAAGAGCACGGCCCATACTGCTTTATCTAACAAGGCAGTGTAGGCTATTTATGCCAGTATAATGACGAAATAACGTCAATATTAAAAGAATCTTTGTTTATTTATACCATAAACATTTTTTAGTTTTTTTATTTACTTGTACATTTAAAACTAGTTCTTTCGAATTGAAATGAGTTTAAATTTGGAATATTATTATATGTAAATATTAATTAGTATCATTGTGAGAGAACATATTGTGCACAAAATCTTATTTGTACATTGTAAGTGGTCAAGTCCCGCGTTTTATATAGGCAATAACAGAGAACGAAATACTGGTGTAAATCTGTGCGAGCGTTTACGACTAAGTAACTCACTGGTGTCTTAATAAACATTTTACTCGACAGCCAATTATCTGACAAACGGTATATCGTCATACTGTATTAAACATTAATTTTGTTTTATCTTATTATCTTGCTCATATTATAAACGCGAAAGTTTGTGAGTACGAATGGATGGATGTTTATTACTCTTTCACGCAAAAACTATTGAACAGATTTTGATGAAACTTTGCAATAATGTAGCATATACAACTGAATAACAAATTGCGTAGAATTTAAATATTCGTTATGTATATTAGGCTAAATATAATGATAAATGTCAAGTAAGTGTGATACAGAGGAAGTGCGCTACATCATTATTTGTATTAGCTGACCCAGCTAATACAAATAATGATGTAGAAAATATTGACCAAATAATTACCTATGTATGTTTTAAGAATGAGTAGCTTATGAGCATAATATATATATTGTCTTGTAGTGTACACAATGGAATTTGTCAATAACAAACTCTGATGCACAGCTCAACAATACATGTATATATATGTATATTATGAGGAGGAAACCAAAGGGCAAACAGCACTACGTATTGTAAGAGTTGGCACTGCTTTCATAGGTATAGGTAGTGTTCTTCATTTAATTAGGTCGTTAATAATATATAAACACACACATACTGTCCGAATGTATTTTACATACAGGCATGTAAAATATATATGCAGAATAATTGATAATAACCGTTGTGATAAACGGACAAGACAGACGGACATACTTGTATATTATTGTTATGCTACCAGTATGCTAATGAGGGCTCAGTTAATAAAGTCTAATATGTAAAATTCTCGTGTTTATATTTCTCGGAAACTGAGTTTCTCGGAGTCTGAGAATAGGTTTATAATTATTTTTTATACCCCTAAGTGTTAAGGGTGACTCATCATAAATTATTTTATCCTATTTTACAACATTTTTTCATAACTAGCATTTGTCCGCGGTTTCGCTCGCGTTAATTTATCCCCTTAGGGGTGGAGTTTCTCACAGTCCTTTCTTGGGGGATGCCTACGTCATAGTAGCTGAGACTTTGCATGCATTAATATGCATGCAAAGTCTCAGCCCGATCGGTTTAAAATTGACAAAGTTTCATCACCTATTTTATCGCCTTGATTGAATTATTCAAAATCCTTTCTTAGCGGTGCCTACGTCATAACATCTACCTGCATGCCAAATTTGAGCCCGATCCATCCAGTGGTTTGGGCTGTGCGTTGATAGATCACTATGTCAGTCACCTTTGAGAATATATACAAACCCGGAATTTCTAAAGGTCTGAGAACAGGCTACTATCTATTTTTGATACCCTTAAGTGATAAGTGTTATCCACCCAACAATTTTTATTTTTAGCTTAAGCTTTAGCATTGAAAAACACATACCTACGACTTCTTTCCACCCTTCTATCATCAACCCCTATTTTTTATAGTGATTTCAATTTATATAGCAACACAACGTTTACCAATCTATAGTTACCTTATAAACGGGGACATGGATCGGCTGTTCCACGGTGACATGCACAGGGTACGGCTGAGGTATCGGCACCTTCACGTACTGAGGGACGGAGACGGCCACCGGGTGCGGTATAGGCACGCCGATCTTCTTCACCACCGTCACATGGTAGGGCTTCGTGTGCTCCGTGTGCGAGTGACCTTCAGGCTGCCATTCTTCGGAGGGGCGGGCGGCGGCCAAGCTGACCAGGAGGAGGATTGCTGTTGCTTTCTGTAAACAAATGCATAAATTAGTATATATTTTTATAGTATACTAGCTACCCACCCCGGCTTCGCACGGGTGTACATGTATTATACATATAAACCTTCCTCTTGAATCACTCTATCTATTAAAAAAATGCGCATCACAATCCGTTGCGTAGTTTTAACGATTTAAGCATACATAGGGACGGACAGACAGCGACAACGACTTTGTTTTATACTATGTAATGATTAATCTATATCAATAAAAAAAATAGAGATTAGCATTAACTATCTGTTCTTGCTAATCTCTAAAACGGCTGGACCGATTTTGATAGGACATTCACTCGCAGATAGCTAATGCTATAAGGAGCAAATTAGGCTACTTTTAGTTATTTTAATTCCATGCAGGTTACAGCTAGTTTTAAATCAATAAATGAAGATTGATATAAATCTATAGGAATATTGTAAAGCTAAAGAGTTTGTCGAGATGAAGGTGCTGAGCTCAGCAACTTTAGCCCTTTTATCCAGGAGGGTTAGGGCTATATAATAATCACGTTAGGTCCATTAGAAGCCGAGTAGTAATGAAAAATGTTTTCTCCAATTATAGTACTTTTATATGCATATTTTAAGTAAATATATCATAGAAAACTTCAAGATAAATACAAAGATAACGAGGAACTTACGACCAGAATAAAGGAAAACAGTGTATTAAACTGCTAGAACATAGAGTTTAAAACAAAATATTTCCAAACTATGGGACCCAGGTAATAATGTTATTAAAAAATAATATAGTTTACAGTCTCTACTAATTAAATATAACCTATACCATAAATAGCTATTTAATCTTTTGATTTGTAAACATTAAATTACAGCAATAATGTGACTGATATACAATAAATTAGGTATAACATAAATAAATTAACATAACCGTACATGTTGTATGCATTAACACATTACAGCTATGGAATAAATTAAAAAGTATAAAATGTGTATAATCTGTAACATTTAAAATAATAAAACAAGATTGTAAGCAAGTAACAGGTAATCCCTTCACTGGGCGACGTTATCATTCAGTTATATAACTTAAATGGTATTATGTCACCGGAACAACAACGTTATTCAATAATTTCGAACATTTAAAAATGGAACATTGATTTTTTAATCACATTTTTACGAGGCAAAGACATATTTTTTTATGGTTTTACTTTTTAAATTAATAGTAAACACTTTTTAACTTACGAAAGCGATCATGTTGCAACTTGTAAGTGGTGTTGTCGACGTTTACTGTTGACTGGTGCTGTCTCTGATCCCCACAACCGTTTTATACTTGGTGAAATGTATTACTTGCCTTTCCATTCAGTGATAGGATCTGTGTACTGCGTTGCGTTCTCTTTCGATTTCAATAACGGTAATATAGAATTTCCGTTTACATTGCTGTATTGACTTTATGCAGCTCGTATAGTTTTGCATATAGATGCAGCAATGGATATGTAACATTATAATTCAATGTATATTATATTGATATTATAAACTGTATTAGTAGGTTTTGATTGTACTATTTTGGCTTAATAAGGTGAGTCATTTTTTTTGTTTATTTTGTTTTATTTTTATTGATGTGTGTTCAGGTTTTTAAGTTTCGCTGCAATTAATAGAAAGTAATGTGACATTATAATAAATCCAATAGTGGGTACGTAACATGATAGAGTTTTATAATTACAATAAGGTTTTAAAGCTTTATAACTTGTATCAGGAAAAGTGGGGCTCGTAGATTTAGCTTATTAAAGAATAGTGAATAAGTACTACTTAAGTAAAGTTCTTAATTCAATAGATAAATAGTTTTTATTATATACCCACTGAAAATTATCGCTGTGGTATAAATTAAGTACTACAGTATAAATGCTGAGAATCACATTTATTTATTTTTTTTATTTATAATCTTAGATTGTAATGTATTATATATAATGTAACAGTGTTGGTGTAAACCTTGTTGGTAGGTCACCAATAAAAAAAAATTAAATAAATCTTTATTGCACTTACAGAACAAAAAAAAACAATTAAAATAGAAAATATATATAGATACAAAAGGCGGTCTTATCGCTAAGCAATCTCTTCCAGACTACCTTTAGGTGGATAGAGAAATAAAAATAAGAACAGGATAGGTGGCGCACGTAATAAATAAAAATAAGTATATATGACTTGACGACCTCGGTAGTTTAGCGGTCTGGCACACCGCTTTACGTCCGATGGTCGCGGGTTCAATTCCACGCACGGTACAAACATTTGTATTCTTGAGTATGATTGTTTGTATCGGTCTGGGTGTTTGCTGTGTATAATATGTATTTATTTATAATAAAAATGTATCCATGTATTTATATCTGTTGTTTTGTACCGATAACACAAGCTCTGCTTAGATTGGGACTAGATGGCGTTGTGTGAATTGTCCTGATATATAAATATATATGTAGTGTGTAGTATGTGTATATATATGTATACGACATAAATATAAATATATATACATATTAATATATATCTACATACACATACATATACTTAATAGTGCACATACATTTGGAAAGAATGAAGGAAGATTAGTTATGAGAATAATAAGAAATTAATTAAAGGGAAAGAAAATGGGATTTGACAGAACTTTAGCTTTAAAGCTGGCAAGTGATTGAATGCTCCGAATGCAAGAGGGGAGTGAGTTCCACAACCTAACGACCACAGTCAGCGTTACCAGTATATTTTAGCTTGTAAGTTGTACCTATGGTAAATATTTATCTCTGAACAACTCATGGTTGCCTGGTAGAAAATGCCATTAGGTGTTAATTCCGCCATATGTACTCGTTTACTTACGTATGATATGCATTAAAGTTCATCATCATCATCATCATCGCAGCCCGGAAGACGTCCACTGCTGGACATAGGCCTCCCCAAAGATCTCCACGACGATCGGTCCTGCGCTGCTCGCATCCAATGCCTTCCAGCGATCTTGACCAGATCGTCGGTCCACCTTGCTGGAGGCCTTCCCATGCTGCGTCTTCCGGTCCGTGGTCGCCACTCGAGGACTTTACTGCCCCAACGGCTATCTTTCCTACGAGCATTGTGCATTAAAGTTATTTAATAAAAAAAAATTGAATAAAAATATTAAATAAGATATATAGTAAATAAGAATTTGTGTAAAACTACACACGGTGCTCTCTTACTTGAATTCGGCTTTGGTGTGGCTAGGTACTCTACCTAATCTATACATATAAATAAAATATATTATATGTATAGATATAATATTGAAATAATCGTTTTTTACTACATGCATATGAATATAAATACATATATCAAAATAACATTTTTTACAATTTTTGTCTGCCTGTTTGTTCCGTCTAATCTCTGAAATGCCTGGTCCGATTTTTGAGGACTTTTTTTGGCAGGTAGCTAAATGTAATAAGGAGTAACTTAGGCTACTTTTATTTTAGAAAAATTCTATAATTTTATAAAGATAAAGTTAAATTCCACGCGGACGAAGTCGCGGGAACAGCTAGTGCTGAATAAATATCTTTATTATTATTATATGATCCTGTAATGCTGAATAGATCTCTTTGTTATTATTATATTAGATCTATTATTAGATCACTCACTCACACACATACACACATACGCACAAACGCACACATACACACACACACACACACATGCTCAATGCACTCCACGTTTAAACTTAAAACTAGATGAATAACTAATTTATATGTAGGGGAGACCTGGTGTCTAAGTTACAGGCTATGGCTTAGTTTGGGCTCCAGATTTCCCACAAATTATATTTGTGATTTTTATTTGTTAGCATTTATATAATAAAACTAAAATTATGTAATTTGTGGACATGAAATAAAATTTATTTATTATTATTTATTATATGATCGTTCCCAATCACACGCATCACTTGATTAGACATAATATTAACTTAATTTCATTAGGTGTGATCCTCAGCAACACAAAAGGTCGTAAAATCAGTGTCTTCTTCTTCTTTTCTTCTATGGCAATCGGTCGTTATTTTTACCACGTTCGGTCGTTTTTTTTTATGCCAGCGTCACGTTACATGACTGGAGATAAAAAGTGTATCCAAAAGACCAAGTAATTTTAGTCTTTCTGGTGTAGAAACTGGAAAGGACAACACAAATTGGGTTAGTAGGAAAGTCAGTGTGAAGATAGTTCAGAGATTAATCATTGATTGTCAGCTTTAACACATTTGTGGGTATGTGAAAATAGTGGTAAAATAATGTTAAAAAAAATAGAGTACTATTGTACGGAGTGTTACGCGCGTTTTGTGTTAAGTGTTTATTAATTATTAATAGATACAAATGAATAGAGGTATGCCTAGCAGATAAATTGTATCAATAAAAGCTTAGCTAGTAGAAAAATTAAACTTATTGAAAGAGGTAATATAACAGATGTTTTTTTATGGATGATAATGGAATGGTGCACCCGCCTGTGCTAACGGTTTACGCTGGCGTAGTACCAGTGGAGGATGATAAAATGAACATGAGGTCAGGTTAGTAAGTCGATCGTAACAAATTCACCAGGAATTCATCACGATGGTTTCCAGGGGAATCACGTGGAGGTCAGTCTGACAAATATCGTGTTATGAGCTAAAAGGGCCTCCACTCAGCTGGTGCCGCAGCGTGTCTCTACAGCGCTAGTTTTCAGTGGAGCCACTACTCGAATAAAAGAAATAGCTTTCTTGGTATGTTTTTACTTTGTTTGGATGTTTTCTATATAAATTATTTAAATATTTATAAAAAATAATTCTATTAATTGTCTAGTACCCATAACGCAAGCTCTTCTGATCTTAGATTTTAACTCTTCTACTATCGCGTGAAGTTGCTGGTGCGGGTGAACTATTAAAAAGGTATGCGCAATACCTTTTAAATAGTTTAGTAGTAAATATATATAATAAAATAAAAACAAAACAATAAAAAGACCTTTAGAAAATTGAAAATAAATTCGCTCAGCCTATTAGCACACAAAGTGTTGAACGAACCACTGGAACAGATACGAAATTGTGCGTCACAATTGATAATCCGTGACGAGTTAAATCAAGTATGATGCGTTACCGAAATAATAAAAAAATCGTGTAATTGGAATGGCAAACAAGCTGACGGTAAGTGGTAACAGTCGCTATATACATGAACAGCACTACGGACATCATGTTAACATGTGACTTCGTGAATACCACTCATACGTTGTTAACGAATTCAAATTCAAATCCAAAATATCTTTATTCATGTAGGTCTATTACAGACTCTTAGGATATGTTAAATCTACCGTTAGTTCCGAATGATTTCGAGATGAGAAGAACTGACAAGAAACTCAGCTCGTATTCTTTTCAAATAAATGTTGTGCATGTTTACAATAATAGACAGTCATTAAAATTCAAATTTGGGAGAATAGAGTGACCACCAGCATATGCTACTGCAAAAAACAAAAAATCAAAGTTTATGAGTTAATGTAAAACATTACTATTATTTATAATATAATATAATAATAATTATTAGACAATTTCAAGATATAGAAGAGAAAAACATGTTACGCCGACCCCAAATGAATGGGATAAGGAAGAAGCAGATGATGATACCCAGACAATTCACGCAGCGCCATCTAATCCCAAGTCAAGAAGAGCTTGTGTTGTGAGTAATAGACATAGACAATATAAATACCTAGATAATATAAATAGAAAACACTTAGACTAATACAAACAATCATACATATGTGTATTGTGCGAAGAATCGAAACTGCGACCCTCGGAAGTAAAGCGGTGGTCTAAATCGCTAGGACACCGAGGTTGTAAATTTTAGTAATTTATACCCAATTTAATGATTAATTATTAAATTCAACATATTTGGGACCCCTTTTAATAATATATAGTCATCATATTATATATTTTTTTTAAGGCTAGACAAAATTTAATTTAGGTTGGCTAGTAATAAATACTTATTTGACGTTGGCACTTTATTTTTGGAAGGTTTAGGCTTATTACCAAGTGTTTTAGACCTGTAGCGCTACGATCTGCAGGGTACTTGCTCTCTATTGTACTTGCCCTTTTTTCTGAGTTTGCTGCTAGCTAGACCTGTGAGGGATAATAATTGAAGGATATTCTTAGAAACGATGGTTTCTATCTCCAGGATGGAGTGTGTACTTTCTAAAGGAGATGTTTTGTTTATGGTAACCATATTGTCGCGCATTCAACCGGGCGCTCCACACCGGCGCCCCCAGTCGCCCCTTCGATCGATCCCCCGTCCAATTCAACGGGGAACGATGTAAC